AGAGAAGCGAGGCTCCGGGAAGTCTGCCTTACCACCATAATATTATATACTAAGCGATGAGAGGAGCGAGGTTCTAAGAAGCCTGCCTCATCGCCATATTTACATATATACTAGGTGGTAAGAGAAGCGAGGCTCCGGGAAGCCTGCCTTACCACCATAATACTATATACTAGGCGATAAGAGGATCGAGGCTCTAAGAAGTCTCCCTTATCGCCATATTAATACATATATACTAGGTGGTAAGAGGAGCGAGGCTCTGGGAAACCTGCCTTACCACCGTAATACTATATACTAGGTGATAACAGAAGCGAGGCTCTAAGAAGCCTGCCTTATCGCCATAATAACATATATACTAATAGGTGGTAAGGGAAGCGAGACTATAAGAAGCCTGCCCTACCACCATCTACTATCCACGCCTACGAAAGTTCAAATGTATCCTGATCAATCTACCGTTTGATATCTACTTCCATAAAACTGATTCAGTCATTTGCTTACTTGCTAACATCTTGTTTTAGTAAGAAAGGTTAAGTGAGATCTTGACTCGAAGAGACTTATCACCCCGTTTGAAAATTCTTATTCGATCTTTATCATGTGATTCCTCTTTGGAATGAATGAATGATTTGCTTCTGATTACTAGGGACATGAGACTTATAATTAACCTTAAAAGAGAAAAAACTAAGTAGAAACGTTGGGACAAAGAGACTAGGAATGAAGTTTGTTCATCGCCTAGACTGACCGAACAACGGATTGACGATTAGAAGATGGCGGAAGATAGGCGATAAGTCGACGATGAGCACCGAACTCTGGGTCATAAGTCTATAAGAGATCTTTTAGAACCCAACATCGGAGATAATATGTTAAGATTCTTTCGGACTATGCTGTGTCTACAGGTTCATCAGTCTTAGAGAGGACTACGGAAGGAATCCGTAAGGAACTGCAAATTTTGTTATCATTGGATAACTGGTCAGTAGAACTCCGACTCAACTTCCACATGGCTTGATACCCATACCTAATACAAGACCTAAGAAGGAAATGGATATATCTTCCCCCTGTATCTATGCCTAAATTGTCCAAATCACACTCGGAGGTCTTTGAAAATGTGAAGGGCTGGGGTGAAAAGGATTCAGGATTAGGAAGTAATGTTGTTTTCAAGGTTTGGGGCGTGAGGGACTTGCTATGAATTAGTTAAAGGTTGACGCTTGTAGCGCATTCTGTGTCTGCATCTGTATACGTGTATGTGATTTCTTGCATCTGCACAGGTGTTGGACATTGAACTGTCTTCTGGATTTGGGATCGTCTGGGATATTCGGACACAGGCATAGCAATTGTGAAAGTGAGGTACACCGCTCATTCAGCTTCCCTGACTTACATACATACTTTATATATATATATATATATATATATATATATATATATATGTGAATGAGATCGTAAGCTGATCGGATCTTAGAAAGTCATGTGTCCCGGATTCTTTAAGAATGAGAGATTTCAAAGGGGTTTGACTCTGGCCCCTTTCATGTGGTCTACAAAAGGGACATAAAGCCCTTATCCTAGTTAACTAAGCGTGGAAGACTGTCCGGAAAAGTCGACTTCATTAGAAAGTCGGTCCGGGGTAGATAGTACCTCGGGGCACGATATACAGGTCAGTCTTAAGGCGTTCTACCGCGCGTATGCCTATGCTACGTCGATCGAGAAAACGTTCTCGGTTGGCCTACCTTTGCGATTGCATGTAAAAGCCTTCGCACGTGGGTCAGTAGCTCAGCAGGGATACGCCCACCTAAGGGATGGTGACAGCTCCCGCATGTGGAGGTATGTTGTACCTCGCAGGATCCCTAACCTGTCGTAGGGAGTCGCGAGAGGTATAGCATGCGCGCACGGTTGGAGTGGTGTTTTCATTTGAAGTGACAAAAGACTCCTGCGTGACACGACCATGAGGTCCAATAAAAAAAAAAAAATAATACTCTGCGCGTGGGTGTGGGACCGCCGCGCACGACACCGTTCAAATTCAGCCAAAAACTTTTCCTTTGCTACATATGCATCTCGCTCAACATTCCTCAAATCCTCAATTGTTGTTACTATATCGCCTAACCAAAATTTGTCTAACATGGCATCGTGAAAATGAGGCCACACTAATGAAGTTTCAATATTCGTTAGACTATACTTACGAGATTTTTGTCAACATATATAAGAATTCGCCTCAACATATGAGGTTCATCCCAATTGTTGATGGATGCAAGCTGCTCATACTTTTCAAGGAAAGTAGAAACAAAATTACCGTCGAAGAGAGAGACGTCTATTCTTGGCAGACTTTCTCTTTCCACATCCCTCTGTTCTACAAGCTGAGTAATTCCAGTCATATCTTCATGATAATGACTTCTGCTTTCTTCTTTTTTCTCTCCTTCGGGAGGTTTCGAGAATTTGGCAATCATGAACTTCTCGAACTCATTCCAAATTCCAGAAACGAGTAGAAGATGTTCAACCTCAACTTTCAATTCTTCAATCACAAACCCAAAAATTAAAAGGAACTTGTGATTTTCTCCCCAAAGCATTAGTGTTGCCAAAGCCTGAAAGACCTGTAAGAATTCAACAACCCCTCTACCTCTGAAGAGAGGCACATCAGTAAAAGTTTCTCCCGTCATTTTATCGCCCTGTAAAAGGCATAAATATATTAATGATGGAATTATCTGATTGATAATTTAACAATCACCTAAATAATTTCAGGTCTCACTTGCAAGAATAATGCTTAACCATCAAAATAACTTATTCGGATGTCGTTTCATCAATGAAAATATGTCACAGATGTTCAATCATTTATCAATGAACCTTACAAATTACTGTGAACGAGAGTCACGATAATAGTTCTTAGAACTAAAACTCATTATTAAAATGACTTTGAAGTTACAGTTTCTTTGCGAGTTTGAGATAAAAGTTAATACCCGATATACCACAATATAGAGTACAAGAAAGAATTACCCTTCTTTTCCCTATAGAGGTCAGAGTTACTAACCTTTCTCTTAGCCAAGTAAAAGAAGTATAATTTTCACATCATCCAATCCCGAATGTCGTTCAACCAGGGACAACGGTAGTTTGTCGTTATCCCCGGCAATGGCGCCACCTTTCGAGCGCATCAGCCCCCTCGCGAGCACAAGGGCCCTCCCGGCCATGTCACGCATGAGATAAACAAAACAAAACCTAGAAACAACTCGGGAACGACGCCTAACTAATCCCGCGAGACGCCGAGACGGTCGTGACCGCGTCGTCCTCGTCGCCACTCTAACCAGGTGCGCCAGCTATACATCCCGGGTCCGCGGTCCCCTACGACAGGATAGGTCTTCGTGGGGCATAAGCTTGCATCCCTAAGGGGCTGTCACCAGCCTTAGAGGCATATCCCTACCAAGCTACTGACCCACGTGCGAAACTTGAAGCTTTTAGATGCAATTGCAGAGGTAGGTCAGCCGAGGGCGTTTGCTCGTTCGCCTTAGTATACATACATTTGGTTAAAGCCAAGTGAACCCGATCGCCGTCCGTTCCTAGGGCGCTGATCTCCTAGGTACGAAGCGGACGTTGGTCGACTAGGACGGTCTCAACCAAGCATGAAACCCAAATTAATCCTAGTCCCTTTAGACATATAGCCAAAGAGAATTATAACATTCACATACAATTACATCAAAAGAAAATTGACTGTCGTCGACAAAAATATCCAATATGATATGATAACTGAAGTATCTGAATCACCAAACAAAACATCCAATAACACAAGATCGAAATAAAATCCGACCATCTCAGGTCGAGCACCACAAAACAATCATACAACCGCTAACAAGGAGTTGGTCACCGACAATAACATAGATGCAGCCGACTTTGTCGGCTGCCTTAGTCTTGACTTGATGAGACGCGTTGCCAAAGTCTTTCATTCCAGCCTACTGCCGATCTGAAACTCGACGCACATACATGCCTTCGTCCGTTTTCATTTTTTTCGGATGACAAGGTACTTTGCGATTGATTATTGATCAGGGACATTTCTTGACGTGTTGCATGCCTCTTCATCTAGGAAGTGGTCTGGGGTACTCCTCCTCGTCCGAGCACAAGACTTGGATCTCAAAAGTCAGGCCGTCTCTACCGAATCGGCAAGTACCCCCCCGTAAAACGGTTCACTGTGGGTCGATAACAAGGTCGGCTCCTGAAGCAACAAACCCCCGCCCCAGATGCTTCCTAGAGATAGTGGATGCGTCCACCGCAAGTAACTTTCATATATTTTTTTTATTTCTCATAAGTCTCGGGGGTAACTTAGACAAAAAGAAATCAGAAGAGATAAAAAAAATGAGAATCATTTAGACAGGTACAAGTAGATAAAGTCGTTCGGGATAGAATGGGTAAATCCTTGGGAAAAGCTAAATCCGTTTGACCTTATCTGCTTTATTTCAATCAAATTCATTATTCGACACACGTTGAATAATATTTTTTCAAAACAACAAGTTTTTTTTGACAAGCAGGCAGGTGAAAGGTAAGAAGAAGACAATTCATTCCTTCATCTCAAATAGGCATAATCAATCTCCTTTGTAAGCATCCATCTACCTACCTGCACAGACGGCAAAGGAAAAACGTTCGAAAGAAAACAGTACAATCCCATACTCGAGTCAGACTTTTCCATTCACATGTATGACTTGCACAACTTTCCTCTACCTTTTCTTTTGAATATTCAAAACGAACAGGGTCAAGCAAAGTGCGGGTCCACACAGGCATGAAAGGAAGTCGGAGTCATTTAACTGACCTTGAGTGAAGTTGAACGGTACACTCAAGAATACCGTATAAAATTACGCTCCCTTTGACGCGCCGGTAGTCCTCCCCAGTCATCAGCAAAGTGATCCAAACCACTCTCTTGTTGCGATCACCTGCCACGACACCCCCTTACTTATTTTTCAGTACGTATCGTCGCCACTAACTTTCACTGTCACCACGTCACTGCGCCGTCAAGTCCACGCCGCCTCAAAATACCCCACTCTAGTGGCACCTTCCCTGCGCCAAGGCTCAGCTGCCGCTCAATGTAAAATTACTGTCGTCACCGCCGTAAACCCTGTGCCGACGTTGCGAAAATTTTCAACAGCACTTCCGCACTGCAGCTGTAAAGCCTGGTGTCGTCGCCGTAAAATTTTTGCAGCGCTTCCGCACCACCACCGTTAAGTTTGCGTCGCCGCCTCAAAAGTTCGGCAGCACCACCGTACCATCGTCGTAAGAAGCCTGCGTCGCCGCCGCAAAAGTTCGGCAACACTTCCGTACCACCGCCGTAAAAGCCTGCGTTGCCGCCGCAAAAATTCGGCAGCACTTCCGTACCACCGCCGTAGAAGCCTGCGTCGCCGCCGCAAAAGTTCGACAGCCCTTCCGTACCACCGCCGTAAAAGCCTGCGCCGCAGCCGCAAAAGTTCGGCAACACTTCCGTACCACCGCCGTAAAAACCTGCGTCGTCGCCGCAAAAGTTCGGCAACACTTTCGTACCACCGCCGTAAAAGCCTGCGTCGCCGCCGCAAAAGTTCGGTAGCACTTCCGTACCACCGCCATAAAAGTCTGCGTCCACCGCAAAAGTTCGGTAGTAAAAAGTAGCAGTGCCTCCCCCACGACCGTCGTTATGACTGTGGCTATTTCCAGCAGCACCTCCACCCTTGCTGAGATGATGGCTATGGGAGCCTCCTCTCTCAACCTCTATTGCAGACCTCCACTCTCCTCCTTCAGGCAACACTTCCTCTAGCAGCAGCAGCTCCCACCGGTAGCTCCTCCACGCCCCTCCTAACTGTGCTTAGCTGCTCCTAGACCTCAGTCCACTCCTAAGCTCTTGAGTGTCACGTATCAAGCCTTAGGTCTCACTACTCGCCCATAGCCTCATATGCTATTTCAAGTTGCTGCTCCGCTGTGCCTTTGGTTGGGTCCACCCCTTCCTAATATAGTCGTGGAGGTAGGCACTCACATCACTTTAGTTATGGGTCCATATGTGCCTCTATCTGCCTTCACTCGAACTGTTGAATCCCGAAATCACTCTGTGACTGCCAGTTGTCACTTCTCTTTGCTTCCTCTGCTATCACCGTGGAGTTAGAGTTGTTGTGACCCATAACTTTCATTGTTCAGCTTGCTTCGCCTTGTGTATATATATACATGTCTCTCTGCAAGCTTTTACATCATGTGATGATGGCTTCAAGTTGTCTCATCGGGCTCTGAATCAAAGTTTCGGAGCAGCCTCTCATTAAAAATGGGAGCAAGCTCAGTTCGCATGGGTTTGAGCCCAAGCAACCCTCATAGGGCTTCAATACAAGGTGGATAAGTCAAGCCCTTTGCTTTCTGGAGGGCTGCCAATTCGGAGGCTTCAAAGCCTTGAAGCCTCAGTCTGCTGCTGGAGGCAAGAGTCACAGTCAGACCTTAAAAAGGCCTGAGCTGCACTCTCTTGCTGTGGTTATGGGTTGAAGAATTCCCAACCATGGTCTTTCTCTACGTTTTGTTTTTTTCCACCGTGGACTCCCACATTAAAAAGAGGCAGCCAAATGGCTACTGCTAACTCCTGGACAACCATTGGCTGCCTTTTTTCTATCTAGCACCCGTTCTGAGGGGTGCCAACTCAGTGCTAAGGTTGGGGGGGGGAAGAACAACTCGTGATAATCACGAGCGAAAATCTCGACAGGCTCAGAGCGGGATACAAAAAGTACCCCGACTCTTGCGATTTTTAATTAAAATTTCATCAAATAAAAAAAAATGAAAACATTCATGCGCGTGGCAGTGCCCACCTACTAAGAGAAAAATTTTCAGAGCCAACGAAAATCATTTACGCCACCAAAAAAATATAGGCGCAAACTGCAAAATACTGATTTTCTCAAAATCTTGATCCACTTTTTCATTTTTTTTCTTTTTTTTTTCTTTTTTCTTTTCCCTTTTTGCCCATTGGCCTAACAACGCCCTCTGGAAGGCTATGGCTCCAAGGCCCAGCCATGAACTGTTGAAATGCAGACCAGAGTCCAAATCCAAATGGATTCAGGGCATGGTGGGGTTGTGCAACCTCACGAAAAATGACCCTCACCACCCTACTCACCAGATGTGCAAAATGAAAACGAGTTTCCCCCTTTCCCACGAGAAGAAGCAGTGCTTCGTCAAGCCGCGAGGCTGCTGCTATTTCAAATTTCATAAAACAAAAAAATTATGTCATCCTTCCGTAGTTCATGTTACTCTCTGCGCGACTATTTTTCAGCCGTGCGATTTTATCGATCACACGGTCGAAAACGGCCACGCCATAAAGTTGGGCTGCTCCAAAAGGAAGGAGCTAGCCCAGTGGACCTATTGGCTTCAATTTCCGCATCTGCGGTGTATCAGGTTGGTACGTTACGTACTGGGCTAGCTCCTATTTCACATCAGGATAGAAGCAACCCTCATATATGAAGGGCTATAATGCCCTGTAGGCAATCTACCTACGGCCTTGGAAGCCTTGCCTGCATGAGGCCTGCAAAACCTGCCTACCTGTAGCCTAGCAGGCCTATCTTACCTGTGGCCTTGCAGGCCTCACCGACTGGTGGCCTAGCAGGTTCTACCTACTGCCGCTTCCTCGTGGATGACAACCAATCCATGACTCCGGGGCCACCCATCGGGTAGGCCTCGGCATAGGCCTGTTGGCCCTCCCCTTGGCTCGAGGTCAACTCGACGGCCCTTCCTATTCCTCTCGCGCCTCGACCCTATACCCGACGCATCCTTCTTTCTAGCCTACTTAGGCCCTGAATCGCGCAGCTTAGCAGTCGCGCTGTCAGGCGGCCACAAGTAGTGCGCCCCTGAAAATGGCAGTTTTGGGACTTAGGCTCAGGGATAAGTCCGTGTTTTGACAATACACTGGACTGACCAGGCGGCAGAGATTAAGGGAACTCACGGCACCCCTAATTTTGGGTGTGTCGACCATTGAGGCTAGGCCTCGAAGTTGTAGAGAAGGACTACCGCTTCTTAATGGGATTACCGTCAGTTATTGATTATTTCGATAATATATTTAAAAATAAGAAAAAGGATCAGAGGCAATAAAAAAGAGAGAAGGAAACAAAGAATTTTCGTTATTTAATTGAAATCCATCGGATTTTATTTTGACAGGATTGCTTTTATTTTCGTTATTTTCGATAATGGAATTAAGGAAAAGGAGAAATAAGTAAAATGATAAGAAGGAAGAAAGAAGCCATGATTAACGGATGATCGGCGGAATTTTGCTCAATTTATTCACGATCGGATTTACCCCCGGATTATTTATTTATTCTATATCTGACGATCTTCACTATTTTGCGATGATTGAGATTTGCTCGCGTGACTTACCTGATTTCCCTGAATTTTTAGCCTCACCCCAACCTGTGTGTTATGAGTGCGGGTCGGATGGACGGCATGGTGCTACCGTTATATTACTTGGATTATTCCGCTTGGGGTTGTGGCGTCGGTGTGGCCGCTGCTCCGGTCCAGACACGAGGTTCGGGACAGATTCGGTACTATTACGGGATTGCGGTATTCGATGACTACGGCTTACATGCTCGGTATCGTCTCGACACTTGACGCCCTCCGGGTTCGGTATTGGCTCGGCATTTGGATGGTATACTCCACTGAGATATTTTCAGGTTCGGTATTGGTTTGGCGCCTGAGTGGTACGCGCCTCTACGTTGTTCACAGGTTCAGGGGTGGTTGTTCCAGGTCCGGTTTGGTTTGGCATCAACGTGGTACTACAAGCTAGTACTATTTTTCAGGTTTGGGACACGCTCGGGGCTGTACGACGCGAGCTATCCGGGCCTGATATTGTTGTGATACGGTTTCATCGGTTCGGTTTGGGGACATGGGAGCGGTATTCTATGTTTGGTTCGGCATCGAAGTGGTACACATCGCTGTGTAGTTGACAGGATCAGTTTGGGGCTGACTTGGACATGAAACTGTTTTTGATACAACCACGGTAATACATCTCTCTATGATATTCGCTGTCGGCAAGGGTTCGATTTTGGTTCCGCATCGATTGGGCACTGGTTTTCAGGTTCGTCATCGGTTTGGCACGGATACAGACCTGAGTTTTGGTGGAATAGTTTCTGGAGTCGGTGCCGGTCTGGAACTGCCCCGGCTCGGAGCTATAATCGATCTGGTGTGGGACTACTGTTATGACACAGTTGCCGAGCGCGATGGACCGGGTGTTGCGGACTGGGGTTGGTACCAACCCGTAGACCCTGATGA